ATACTTCAACTAACTCTATATGAGGAAATTCTGTTTGTATGAAGGTTTACAGATCTGCCCTCCAATTTATGGTTTTGATATTTTTCTCTTCCAAAATAGAGGTGTAAAATTTTGAAAATAAACACAGTACATTGTGCAAATTGAGTCTTCGAGAATTGATTGATGTAGAGCAGACATATAGATAAAGTTATTATCCCTGACAAAATCTGTAATAAGTTAGTTGATATTTGAACTCTACTTTGTCTAATTACATGCCTCCTGGGATTTATGTACATGTTTTTCCTAACATGTCACGGCAGCTCAGATAGTAACAATAACTTTCCTGTGTCAAGAAAGATGATAAAAATGTTTTATTCTTCTAATCCTATACTGCAATAGTTGGCCAATTCCCTAACAATTTCCTCTGACGTCCTCGATAAATACAGGCCATAGTCCATTTCCTTTGCCTGTGGACATAGCAATTGGTCTGTTTCTTCTTCTCTGATGGATTTATCCTTGTACGACTGTTGAATATTGAAAACCAGTAATCGGTCTTTGATTCTTAGGGACAAACACCAAAATCTGACATTTACTCGTGGACATCTTAAACTGCTGAGACATTTTGTTCTACTGCAAGTCGGTCAGGACAGAAGCGTCAGCTGAATGACCCTGGTGTAAATGTAAATGTTGAGCGGTATGGATTGAACAGCATGAGACATCAGCAGTGGGTTACATAAGGTGGATTTTAGCTTTCATTTCCTCCAGGCTCTCCTGCTCTTTGCTCAGGTTCACCTGCTGCCGGTGGCTTCATGCCCACCTTCTGTTGGTGTTTATTTCTGGACCAGACCTCCTCCCTCCTTTTTTTTTGCTCTCTCTGTTCATCTGTTTCCCTCTCTCTTACTCCATTTTATCTTCTCCACCTCTATGTCCATCTCTTTGCACCTTATTTTTGTAATAATTTCACTGCTCTCGTTTTACTTCCATGCATTCTCTAGCTACTCCCACTCCCCTTTCTTTCCATGTTCACCTTTGCCTCCTTTCTGTTTTTCCTTTCCTTTGTAACACCTTGCATCCATTTCTCAGTCACTCTTTCTTCATCAACATTGGTTTCATTTGTTTACCTTCATCATCCTCCTTTTTCTTCTCATCTCTCTTTTCTATCACCACCCTCCCCTGTAATCCTCCCTTTTTTTCTTTTCCCCTCTATTGCTTTCTACTTCTTTACCCTTCTCTTTATTTTCATTTATCTTCATCTTTCTCTCTCCCTGCTTTTTAACTCCTCCCCTCCACCTGCTCTTCTCCACTGGTCCATGTGTTCTCTCTCTCTCTCTCTCTCTCTCTCTCTCTCTCTCTCTCTCTCTCTCTGTATCATAGGTCTCTTTACCTTGGCCTTGAAATACTGGACATGGAGCCTCAGGGAAGCATCTGCTCACCTTCTGTTCTGGCTTTAAAGGGACATTACAATGTTTTATTCAGCCAAAAGTTTAATGTATGAGATCTAATTTCAGTTGAAAAAAAAACCCATTAACTTCCCTGTTTTCTTCTTCTCCTTCATTTAGTGATTTCCTACATTTCCCAGAATACCTTTGACCCCCTTAGAGAAGCGTGAACTTGTTGCCCTAGCTTGTAGTTGTCTGCTTGTATGAAAAGTGTAATTCACTGACACACATCACTGGTTAAATGCTTTTTGTAATAACAGAAGTTAATCAGTGTGTGTTTTTTGAGTAAAGAAGGAGAAAGGAGAGAAAGCTTTGTTGTTATGTCTCCAGCAGTGGAGAACAACAAAGCCATTGTAATCCAAAACACTGTACGTGTGCAGAACTGTGGAGAGAAGTTATTTTCTTTGCCCCACTAGAGTTGGCTGAAGCTTTGAAAATAAAATAGAAAAGGCTTTATTTTCATTACACATTTCCAATATAGCAAAATGGCTTTTGCAACACCTGGAACCGTAGATACAATTATTGAAAGTCCTGCAGTGCGTATTGGTCTGTCAAGCCATTTGATTTGATTTGTGCTGGAGTTTGGTGCTCCACTCTACTTATGTTAGTCACCTGTCTTGCAAATGATCCAAATTAATAATGAAATCCAAATTATTCGTCCACCCTCAACATTACCCTACATGATCAGCTGCAGAAGTGCTTTGTATAATCCAAGGCAGACCTTTGGAGCAGGAATACCTTGTGTGTTACTTACAGATTATGTATATAGAACAGAATAGATCTTTATCTTTTTTGCTATGTCCCAGCATGCTATTAATTATCTTTAACAAGTTAGCTGCTGCAGATGATGTGACATTGACTGTATTTCCAAATCCCAGTTGGTTTCTTTTTCCAAAATCATTCATTCATTCCCTGTTGTCTACTCATCATACAAAGAACTCAGTTCAGGAATGTATAATGTGTCTGATGGCAAAATCAAATTATACACAGCATCTGTGGCAGGTTTTTTTTGGATTTTGTTCAGGCTCACACACATGATTCTCACAAGAAACCACAGACTAGTGTTGGATTTTGTTCTCAGACACAATAACTTAGTTATTCTTCTAGTATTATCATGATGATGAATTACCTTGTTATTATACTTTGTTGCTGGATCCCTACTATAATCTGATGTCTTAACTTAAACAATGATCAATTGTAACTTTTAGATTTTTGCCACTTATAGGCTAACTGCAGTTCACTGCTCTTTAAATTTAGTTAAGACAGAAATTACTTAATGCGTCTTTATTCAGTCACGTACTATAGATTAGATGCCACTACCACCACCCACATTATTCTCCCCCCTTGTTCTTAACCACATTCATGGCCCAGGGCCAGGAGTCGAGGAGCTGTATGCAGTGAGTTTGTTTCCAGTGTTTACACAACAGCAACATAAAGCCTGTTGAGTTTCTGCTGCAAAAAAACCCATCACAGCTAATTACCTGTCTCCATTAGGCTGAGATGGTTAGTTGCTGCTGAGTCAGATGGTTACACCCAGACTGGACAGTAAAGAAACAAGGAAAGGGTTATCATCAGTTAAACCCACAGTTAGTTAATTGATTAATTAAAAGTCTACATACTGTAAATGTGTTTTTGTTAGAGCTGAAATGACTAGTCAATGAACTGATTAATTGATTATCAAGCAAAAATGTCAGAGCCTTTCAAGCATGAGAATTGTGTTTCTTTTTTTCATATAATTGAAATTTGAATATCCTTTTTTTTTGCAGTTTGGAGTTTGCAGTTTGCAGTCTGTCCTGCTCGTGAGTCTGACCTTTAATTTCATTCCTTAACTTAATTTACTGTTTATAAAAAAACACCCGAAACATAAAATAATTATATACTATAAAACCCCCCTCACGATAATATCATATAATGCGATATTTGGGGCTGGACTGTATCAACATATTACATTTTGGATATTGCCCAAGCCGAGTTGTAGCCCTACTTTTCATGGTTCCCCACTGCTGACAGAAATTATGAATTATGTGGATTATGTATATTAACAGGAACATTATCTCTGGCACAGGAGTAGCCTCAATCAGAGAGTCAGACCTGTCACAAAAGGAGCCTAAATTTTTATTTCCATGTAGAAGAAGGATTTTCACAGTTTAGAAAAAGTACTAATGAATTGAAATGACTTTGGTCTTGTTGGCCGTTAGTTTTCAGTTTCTGCTGTTGAACTTTCTAAACTCAGTGCCCTGTTAGTGTCACTCATAATAACTGGAGAAGAGAAAGAGCTCATTAACTTGACAGTAGCTTTAATGTTTCAGCAAGTGGAAAATGCCAAAGTTGTAGCATAAGTTTTCATAAACGGCACCAAAAATAAAATTCTATCTGCATCCATTGTATTTTGGAAACATCAGATGTCTCAGTGGCAGATATCTCAAAAAATCAGCCAAAGAAAAAGAGATGATCAATTTTCTCTGTGTATAGAAAGATAAATACATTTTCACTTTTCCACCTTTTGCTGTAGTGAATCATTGAACACTGTTGGTCAGCAATGTACTTCCCATGGCCATTAACTAAAAAAACTTTTTTCTCATGTTTTCACACTAACTTATTAAGTATTTTCAGATCATTGTTCATATTTGTGAGTGATGTGTTTGTGTGTTTATGTTTGCTATCAGCTTTTCTCAAATAGTCCCTTGAGGGGCAAATAAACAGTTTTTGAACTGAAATGGGGAGAAAGAATTATCTGTATTTCCAGATGCTTCCAGTGGTAAGTGGGTATTTTGTCTCTAATTTGGTTGAACTGACCCTTTTTAGTGTTTTGTTTTTTTGCTGCAGCTGTTCTGTCCATACATGTCCCTTTTAAGAATTTTGTTTGCTTATTTGTTATTTCCAGTAAATGTGGATATGGGGTTTGTGGCTGTAGTGTCAAGAGATTCACAATAATTCACCATTTGATTATTTGATTGAATATAAAAGAAAGTTCAGAGTTGCTAATTTGAGACCTTTGTGAGGAGATTTTATTATTAAATGAATATACTGTCGTTATTTCCCCAGACTACTGCATCATATGAGGCCATAAGCAAAGCCGTACAATTGTATGCAAAACTTTGGGTCCCCCTGGGGAAATTACATAACCTTTTTGATTATATTGTGGAAAGAACAGACATTAAAATGATCCTTTCTTCAAATTTTAATGCTCTGTTACTTTTTATGCCATGAATTTAAAAAACATAAAAAACAGTAATGGTGGTGTGTGCGGAAGGACAGGGTTCAGGTTGAGGCACCATACTAAATGTGTGCTTATTACTTATTACTATTACTATACTACTATATTGTTATTATTACTTATTACTTATTGAGGATAGAAAAATATTCTGCTTTTGGTTTAGTGTGGCAGCGAGTGCAGAAAATACACTACACAGACAGAGGCAAGAATGGATTCAACTAGATGAATATCAGCAGATTCTGGAGGCAGACATTCTGCCGTCAGTCAAAGAGGTGAAAAGGGCTGGTTTCTACAACAGGACAATGATCTTAAATCTAGCATGAACCACTTCAGTAAACACAAGCTGAGGCTTTTGGCCCTCACAGCCCTCTGACCTGGACATCACTGAAAACCTGTGGGAAGATCGTCAACCTGCTGTGTGAGCAGGAAAACTTAAAATATCTCAGAACCTGAAGTGATCTTCCAAAGAGGGGGAGTTTCCAAGTACTTACTTAGTAGGGATCCTGAATTTTATACATGCCACTGTTTAATTTTTTTCTATTTTTTAATGAACTAAACATTAACAGAGTATTAATATTTGAAGAAAGGTTCGTTTTTGATGTCTGTTGGCTGCAGTGTTCGCATTAGCATTCAGTACTTTTCATTTAAAAGAAATATGTAATATTATATGTAATATTATAATGCCCAGGGGTGCATACGACTCTCATCAACTTCTGTGTGTGTGTGTGTGTGTGTGTGTGTGTGTGTGTTAGATGTGGTTTGTTTTGTTGTTATATAAACATTTTGTTTTTAAATTATTTATTGTACATAGTGGCATTTCTGAATCAAATCAGACCAAAATTAATTTAACATATTGCAGAGACAGACACCACACACACACACACACACACACACACACACACACACACACACACACACACAGCACACACAAACACAACAAACACACAAACACACCCTAGGAGCACAGTGCTGGCCAAGGCCCAAAGGTTTGATCCCACAGGCAAGAGAGGGGGAGCACAGCCCACAATCTGGGCACATAGAAGGTGTGTGTGTGTGTGTGTGTGTGTGTGTGTGTCACAGAAAGAGAGGAGGGACAGTGTGAGAAGTGGGTGGAGATGTGACTCCTGAGGGAGTGTTGAAGTGTCTCAGCAGCACTTTGGTTCAGAGCCTTTGAAGGCGCTGAAGTTGAAGTTAGCGGCAGTCGAAACACATTCCTACAACTTTGTGTGTATGTGTTTTTACTGTTTCTTTTCCTTTTCATCGACTTTACACCAGACCGCTATGGGAGTACACCGGCTGTCACCGTCCTGTCAAAGGATTTTTAAAGTTCCTGAAGCGTGAGGGGAGAAAAAGACAGATATTCCTGGAAGAGTCACCTAGCTGGACCTCAGGTAAGCTTTCCCTGTTGCTCACCATGCATGCTGCTTCACTCCACTTCACACCGCTGTTTATTGTGGAGAATGACACCACTATTTAGTATTACAATATTACTAAACATTGCCCTGAAGAATATATAAACAGAGTAGAAGCGCCTCAGAAGGAAGAACTAAACTTTCTTTGCAACACATAAATCAGGCAAGTTATGGAAGATATTTTTTGCACACGATGCGTCTTTTATCATTTAACTTGTGTTTATAATCGTGCACGTACACTGTGTAACTGAGGTTCTCATGATACTTTATAATGTGTTTTAAGTGTCAACTGTTGACGAAAAGATATTTAAAATTTAAGAGTGTGTCAATCAAGAATTTACCTTACTCAGAGAGAAGAAAGTGTTGGTTAGCGCACGAGTATGTGCATGAGTTTTGTAAAGGATTTTTAAGCCTTTATTTGTGACAGTTTTTGCTTGGAGCATTTGCATGGGAGGAGAGGTAAAGAGCTGCAGTACAGGCACATGTCAACACATGCAGCCCAGCTTTTGACGTTTGAAAGCTCTGGCCAAAGAGTCCCTCCCTTTTCTTTATTTCTTCTTCTAGAGCTGGTTTCTTCTGCGTGGAATTAAATTGCTCAATCATATTTCTGCAGCAGTGATGTTGCATGTACATGTACAATGTTTTGCAATGGAATGACAGGAAAAGAAAAGATGCTGAGTATTGTTGTGTTTAAATGACTCTCAGGTCAGGAGATGGTTTTTCTCTCCTGCTGAAATTGTCACTTCTCAGTAAGGGTGGCTTGCACAGTGCGCATTTTGAAGTGGATGATGGCATTTGTGATGGATAGATGCCAAGATAACCTCAAAGGAATCACCACTTTATTTCTTTAAAGGTGACTTTCCATAATGGAAAGCAATACATAGGTGCTGAAAGAAAACAACTCGCTGATTTTAGTGAACCTCATTTGACCTGAAAGTTGCTTGAGGTTATATTGTGTTTAGATTTTACTTTCAGTTAATGGTTTAATTTTAAGGCATGTAGGCAAATAAATGGTTTTTATGACCCTGGAGAAAAGCCATAGCTCTGATAAGGCAGCATAATTTGTTAAAGTAGGATTAAGTCGGTTTAGTTTTCCTGTAAAGTTTTTAGAAGAGTAAAGTTTCTGCAGAAATATTGCCGCCAAATTGGTGCAGATCATTCAATTTAGACTGAGAGTTTTTTAAATTATCTGTTGGGTAATTTGGCAAAAGGTGAGCCTCATTAATGACGGTGCTGATAACACAGCTGTTTGGAGTCATTGAGATAAAGTCTAGACTTAGCTGGAAGGATGGATGGAACTGCCTGCCATAAAGCAGAGATGGATATTACCCTTGTGCAATTAGGCTGGCCTGTTGGCCTCTTCAGCTCACTGTCTCATTGCCTGAGTTGCTGAGCGTGAGGTGCAGAAAATCACCAAGCAAAGTAATGAAATTAGCCAGGAAAAGGCTGAAAAATAGAAAACACCATCGAAAATAGTGTGATGTGAGTGGAAAATTGGATCAAATGCCACTGAATCCAAGCAAACACACACTCAAAGACAGTTATACCCACGACTCATCCCATACAGTCAGGTCCAAACGAAGTGTTGGACCACCTGAGTGAATGACAGGCTGGGCTTTCTAACAGGGAATGCTGCTGAGGCATTTCTGACCCTCCCTGTAATTATGGTATTTGCTGTGAGGCCTGAGTGACCCTTTGGGTGTGGGTGGGTGTATGTGAGTATGTGTGGAGGGGCAGTTTAACTTGAAAGGACACCCCCGACCCCCGACACTCCACCTTCCACCCCTCACATGACATGACCTAACCCTGCAGACAGCAGCTCTGAGAGGAAAGGCTCAGGCTGAAATGTTGTACAGTATGGTGGTACAGAGAGGAAGGAAAATTCTAACAGTGTATTTGTGTAATCTGGTTGTTTTGGCATCTTATTTTACTAAATGCTCTACTTTTATAGCCTCAAATTAACATGAAGGGGATAAACAAATGCTGTCAAAGCTGAATGCAGTTTTATTATCAAAGTATTCCCCACAGTCACTTTAAATCTCACCCCCAGAACGTTTCCGTGACTTCATACAGAGTTTTTATGACTGCCTGCAGCTTTGCACAACCACAACTTTTACAGATGCTCAGTAAACAGTAACAGTAAAATTTTATCTTATTGTTGAGTAGAGATTAAAGAATTATCCAGTCTGTCTTTAAAAACAAGTTGTAGGCAGTGGGTGTGTGATGTGGTGGTTGTGGGGGAGCTAATTTAATAAGATGAAAGGGTTCAGTTGACATCAGTCAATTAACTTTTTTTTATTATTGGTTGATGACCCAGACTTGGAAAAACAGTGTATTACTTTACAAATCTGCTGCATTATTACATATTGTATATCATAATAACATACTGTTGATTATACAGTATATTAGGTCTGCTATATTGTGTTAAGCTACAATATTGTAAAGAACAGTGTGATACTGTAGCATATTTATGAGCATGGATCTATACTATGGGCCAGTTGTACTGTGATTGGATGAATATTTGCCTACCATCAGAGATTTTTCTATTCTTTTTATGCCAGGGTCTCTACTTCTAGGAGGCAATTGTGGCCAGTGTTGCAGTGTTGTTAAAGTAATTTTGTATTTTTATGTGATTTTGCAACAATATGATGATGCAGTACCTGAGATATTTAAGTGCCTGCATTAAGCAAAAACGGATTCCTTGTCTGGTTGTTTTACACATTAAGAGTCTTGAATGGTTTTCCAGAAAATTTGCATTACTACAATATGAAAATATTGCAGTATAAAATTATATATGTCATAATAGAGGGTTTTTATGCTTACCATCCATCCCCGGATATCGTCCCTGTACTCCAGCATGCTGTGGCTTGATGTGTAGAATTGTATAGCAGAGTTTATCACCACAGTATTGAATAGAACTTAGTGAAATCTGCTGAGATAAAGAAAAAAGCCAATAACAGTCAAACCTCAAACATAAGATTTAATGCGATGACACTCACATATTTTGTTCCAGCTGCTGTACACTGAAGTCTTGATTTGTATTAACTTAAGAGAAACAATTCCAGTTCTGTGTTTTCAAAGTGTCTGAGTTTTGTCAGAGCGCTCTGGTGTCCTGACAGGGTTAACTGCCTCTGAACTAGAGCAGCACAGTGCTGTTAACTCATCCCAACATAACCACAAAGCTCCAGTTAAAGGCCTCCATGTCCCGACTTCGTGCTGTGGGTGTGAGAGAGGTTGGTTCGGAGGCCGCGCCCTTCCCAACCCTTGAACCCTTCCAGACTGGGGGTTAGCATCGTAACCCCACCCTAACATAATCCTGGACGTCTGATCTGAAATTACACTCCTGTAAAGGCGTTAGCTGTGAAAGTTTCTGCAGATGGCATTTTGACTGAATTAACAGTTTAGTGTGCAGTCATGTTTTTATGCAGTACAATTGACAAACAAGCTTTACTTCTCAGGATTAGATTAGATTAGATTAGATTAGACAAACTTTTGTATTAGGGAGCGCTGGGCGGACAGGGGGCTTTTGCAGAACATGTTAAAAACAGTCTGTACTGTTGTAAAACTCAAACCTAAAACTGTGACGCTAATGCTGCATGAAATGTAGAAATAATGTCCCATGAATAATGTATTGTAACACTAGGGTATGAATGAGAACAAAATGATTTTGACTGCCGACTGGAGCCGGTTGTGCAGAGGTCAAAGGTCAGAGCCATCAGGCGCTGATAACAGTCATGCAGGAAAGAAGTAATAAAATGAGAGAAGAGCAGAGAGCTCGGAGGCAGTTTCTATAAATGAGAACAAGTCAGAGTGAGGAGAGGAGAATGAAGGAGTCTCGTCCAGGTTATCTGGTCCCACCTCTGACAGCCCCCTCCCCAACCCTGCCACTGCCTGATTCTAATTGGTACCTGGATGCGGGCATAACTATCTGGGAGAAGAGAGACTTTTTTATCCTTATTTTTTCAGTTCATATGACAGGTTGTAAACAGTTGTAAACACCCCTCCTAACATCAGAGGGAATAATTTAATGAGCTATATAATGTTAGGGTTATTATGCTTCAGTGAAAACAAGCAGTGCTGACCACCTCTGCTAACCAGTTAGCTTGGGGTAACCCTGCAACATTAACCCTTCATACACCTGGCTAGATGAACACAGCGGGGCTGCTGTTGGACTCTAATCTTCTTAAACCAGCATTAATGGTTTTTCTTGCCACTTCGGGGCAGTGCTACAAGGTTTTAAAATAACACTGATTATAAGTTTAGGCAATATCCATATTTCGGCAATGTATTTTTTTTTTTTTGCAAGGTGGAGGTGTTTATAATACTACTATACTTCTAATTTTATGTTTCATTATGAACAATATTGCACATGGCTGGAAATATCAGGATATTCAACAGCCTAAGAGATTATGTCATCCCTATGCCTGGGAATCTTAAGCGATCTCATTTTGGATTCTTGGTGTCAAAATTGATTTGATTCATAATTTTTTCAAGTCAGTAAACTGAAAGGCAGGCACTATTTTCAGGCTCTTACGCTAATGAAATCCAATATGAAACATAACTTGCAGTCAGAATAACTGGCCTTGATGAAAGTCACTGTCTGACCCAACAGGACAGATAATAAGAAAAGTGAGTGCAGCTTTTTTCAAGTTAACTACAGTCATTTGGAAACATTGTATGCTCCTCTGCCTGTGTTGGAATGATGATACGAACTGTTTATTGGTTAAATGTTTTTTTGTAAAAACCAGTAAATGGTTTGTGTGGTCTGGAGTAAGGAGAAGAAAGCGGAGCACTCCTCTGTACTGTTACTAAAGTGATGTCTCCAGCAGTGGAGAAATGCCTCCCTGCTGTAATGTTAGTTCAGGGGAAAGCTGTTGTTTTCCAAATTGCTGTATGGGCGCAAACAAAAACAGACTGTAGATCAAGTTATTTTCTTTACCCTGACCAGAACTGGCCAGAAGTTCGTAAAATGCTGCAGC